TGTTAGTGTGGTAGTTGTCCTTCCAAAAATTTTCAATATGCAAATGGAAAAATACCAAAAAGAAAAAGGACAATGCTTGGCTCCTGATATATCAGGAGCCATTCCTCCTCAACCATGACATGGGCTCCTTAAAAAACCAACACGTGTGTGTTTTTGAGTGCTGCTATTTCCACCCCCTTGTCCTATTTCCCCACCCACCTTATCTTCAAACTTTTAAAGACAAATTTATCCCTTTGTAAAATGACTTCTAAGGACTTCTATATATAACAACATTACTTTTGATATATATATATATATAAAATAAACTAATTATTTCAAAAACAAAAACAAAAACCCAACAGCCATCAAAACTCCCTCACCCACCAACTTGTTAGCCATCCCACCCAGCCGGCAGCGACCCCTCCCCCCTTGACATCGACAAATCCTCCTTTCATGTCTATCTCTCTATCTCTCTGTCTCTCTCTGTCTCTCTGTCTCTCTGTCTCTGTCTCTCTCTGTCTCTCTCTCTCTCTCTCTCTCTATATGTTATGTGCCAATCCAAACAACTCCCACTTGGTGGCGCTAATTCAGATACTGAGGAAGAAAAGATGCACCTTTTTCTTTTTTTGGGGGTCAAGAGAAAAGTTGCATCTTCTCTCACAAACTTGGGTAAGACCATAAAAGGAAGAGAGGAAAAAGGATCTGAATTGTTTGTTGATACTAATGCAGACCCTACCGTCCTACATAGGCAAAATTCTAAGCCCAATTTGTTATGACAGGTTTTCCTTTTTTGATATTTCTAGAGATTCTGGACTTTGAAGAGGATTTGTAGCCGTGATTTTTATCTAGTTTGTCTTGTGGGAGTGGGAAAAGAAATAGAGAGAAAAGGAGGTGTTTCTGGCGAGTAGAGGGGTGGTTGCGCGGACGGGGTTGGGGTGGCTGACCAGGTTGGGTGGGTGGGGGAGCTTTAGTTGAATTAATTTAATACTAATTTCATAAAGATGAGAATTTGCTGGAATTAATAATTAAAGGGTATTTTAGGAATAATGGTGGGTGGAAAGATAGGATTGTGTTTTTTTAAATTTACATGATGGGTGGAAAGATAAGGTGGGTGGGAAAATAGGATAGGTGGGTGGAAATAGCAACACTCGTGTTTTTTTTATTTTTCCTCTTTCCTCTTCCTAACGCTTTTAACCCAACCTTTTGGCTGGTTTTAACTGCAGCCTCCCCGAAGCCACAGCCACCCCTGTTCGAATCCACCCGCATCACCAACCTCATCTCGGAAAAATTACAGAGCCAGAGAATTTGAAAGACTAGCAAGCCAGCCAGAAAATCACAAAATATACAACTTCTCAAGATCAGCCAAGAAAACAACAAGAAGAAACAAAGCTAGCAACCTCAGAAAAGAGAGAGACTTGGAAACCATGTAGTGGCAAGCACACGGTTTCTCTTTTCACCAATGAGGGAGGAAGAACCCCATAAAAGAAAGCTACATGATTCTTTTGCTTTTCACCGCCACCTCTGTTCCGAATATACCCTCATCACCAACCTTGCCATGTAAACCTCCGGCCAATTTTGGAGCCCAAGACCCTGGATTGAAATCATTATGTGCTTTCAATTTTGGGTTTTTGAATTTGCAGCCATAGCAGAAGTTTGATTGGTTGATTTGAATACCATATTCCAACGAAGTGAGGGAGGAGAGAGAGAAAGAAATGAAGATTAGCCGTCAAAACCTCGAATCCCCCCGCCTTCGCTCACCTCAGATCTAGAGGATAGAAAGTCGCCGATCTGGAGGTTGGTGATGAGGGTGGATTCGGAACAGGGGTGGCTGTGGCTTTGGGGAGGCTGCAGTTAAAACCAGCCAAGAAGTTGGGTTAAAAGCATTAGGGAAGAGGGAAGAGGAAAAAAAAAAAACACACGTGTTGGTTTTTTAAGGAGCCCATGTCATGGTTGAGGAGGAATGGCTCCTGATATATCAGGAGCCAAGCATTGTCCTTTTTCTTTTTGGTATTTTTCCATTTGCATATTGAAAATTTTTGGAAGGACAACTACCAAACTAACAATTCGATAGCCTACGTAACAGATGGTAACCAAGCAAACTTTAGATCCTTCAACAGAAACACAGTGGCGTAAGTTAATGAAACTATGAAGACAAGAAAGGGTTGGATTTTGGGTGTGAAGATTAAATAGTTTTAAATCAGATATCTGAAAATTTTAGACATGCTCAGTCAACACCATAAAAATTTTAGACTGCCACCCACCTCAACCCATCGGCGGCAACACCGATCATCTCCTTCATTTGATTTAAAAATTCAAGAAAAGCTCTTTCTATTTTATTTGGTTTCCTCAAGGTAATGGGATTCTTATATCTGTCGACCGTCTCACCTTGATTTGTGTTCCATTAATCTCACTTCATCAAAGAAACTTAATTTACTTGGAGAAAGGATGTACTGCAGAAAAAGTAATTGTGGTGAAGATGACATGTGATCTACAACCGACGAGATGCTCTGATTGAATTGAAATCCTCTCATATGATTTCAGGTTGTTTCATTAGATCTGCAACTAAAATTTAGTCCTTATGTTTCCCTCAGATTTAAGTCATAACATGTTTGAAGCGATTTATGAGCGACGGGGGTGGGGTGGTTGTCTGGGCTTAGGTTGTTGGGGTGTTTGGGTAGTGGTGGGGTTTTGGTTTCTTGTTTAATTTTTAGTTTTCATTTTAATTTTAAATTAGAGTTAACACTGTTAGATTTGAAGTCAAGTAAAAGAACGTGTGTCAAGCAAATAAAGAGGGATATTTGGTGATACCAAATTTGGGGACAGCGGTTCTGCTCCCGGTGGGGTCGGGGTGGGGCAAAAAGGAAGAGAGATTTTTCTCTCTATGTTTTTTCCTTGAAAATGGAAAGGCTAAAATACTCTTAAAAATGGATGTTAAATTTGATGGTGTTAAAGTCAGATGACAAATCATGGATCTTGAAAAATTATGATGACATTTCTCTTAAATTTTTATTTAAGGTGACAAATTGAAATTGTGGTATAAGTTTATGTGACATTTCTACAAAAATCCCTTTTTAATACAATTTAATCAATTTTTTTTTTGTTTCTTCTTTCTCTTTCCTATTATACCCTTACCCTTAATTAAGGTTTTGATAAATGAAATTAAGAAAAGTTAATTGAAAAAAAAGCTATCATCTATAACGAAACAATCTCTATACAAAATTCAAGCAAATTAAACCTTATTTAACTTGTGTTTCAATTGCTTACAAATGATTTCCAATCCTCAAGTAAGCTTCGAATGCCCAAAAATAAATCAAATACCATAACAAAGCATTGATTTGCAGAGTAATTTCTCAAAAACCTCACACCGGAGAAATTCCAGAATCTTAACAACAGCCCTTAAAATTTACATGAGATTGTTAGGCTCAATCTCAAAATCATGTAGGAGAAAATGGTTCATGAATCCGACAACTAGAGAGAAAGTTATGATTTTTCACTTAGTATCTTTAGCGTTCGTTGGGTAAAAAACACAGTTCACTTTAGTATCTAGGAGCCCAAATACCGATTACCCACCAAACGCCATTTCTAACCCAATGAACAATGAGGGACTAGTTCATTAACTAAATCATGGCGTTCGCTGGGTAATTTACTCAAAGAACGGCATAAGTTACCCAACAAACGAGCTACTTAGGCCCTGTTTGGTTCACGGAATGAATTTGAGGGGAAATCATTTCCCATGTCATTTCCCAAGGGATGGGAATAGAAAGACTTTCC